GGGCTCGTGATAAACATTGCCACTGCACGCGCTCGTGATACGCCCAAACGCACTAATCGAGTCGTAGGGGAATCAATCTCACGCGAAGGACTGAGCCACCGGCCAGCCGCTGGCTGGTGCGCCGTCGAGAGCGTGGGTCACTGACCACCCCGCGCGGCCGCACCCGCCGCCAGCCGAGAGCGTCCGGCTCGGCCACGGTCCGCGTGGGCCGCGCGGCCGCGCGACACGGCGGCCGCGCTGCCGGAGACCGGCGGGTCCGGCCTCCAGCAACGCGGAGGCCCCGGCCTCCGGCAGTGCGCAGGCCCCGGCCTCCAGCAGCGCGGAGACCCCGGCCTCGGCGCCCTGGAGTTGTTAGTCCATGGACTGGCGGTTGAGGGTGGTCCATACGCTGTTATAGATGTGTTGTTCCGTGGTGTTCGGTGAGCAGCTGGCCGGGGCTGGCCAGGTTCCGGTCGACATTGTATGGCCCGCAAAGCAAGCATTCTAAATATTTGTTTAAATGAGGCTCGGGGGGGGGGGGAGGGGCAAAGTGGACACGATGCGAAGGGCCAATGGAACTTGGCTTACATCAACACACCTATCATCAACAAGCGAGTCTACTTGGCAGTCAGGATTTCGGGCGTGCATTGCACCAGCCCGGTGTAGCTGTTTGCCATGCAGCAGCGGCGTCTTCGCTCAGGAGCTTTCTAGGTGGCTGGGCGTCTTGTGGTTTCCCAGACTCACTGCAATTGTGGTGAGCCCGATCTCCGGCCGTCCTGGGATATTTGTCTGTGACGACAGGCTTCAAGACCGGTTCCAGCTGTGCCACACCGACGGATTTTCAGCGCTCATGCTGGCTTCTAAGGGCTGCTAAATATAGCCTACTGATTCTTGTCTGCGGTCTGAACCGGTTGTTTTTTCTTGAGCGGTCCTGTGACCGTACCCTACGTTGTTACTATTCGTGTCGCGAACAGATTTAGCTGTAATGCATTCTCCTCACTAAGCTGGTCCCAAAATAGATACTAAAAATAGCTCGGTCGTCGCTAGTTCCTGGAGCTGCACGGCGTGTTGGTTTACCCGCGCCCAGCAGCCCCCGTGTGGCCATGCGCTCCACCGCCAGCTGCTGCACGGATGGCGGCGCTCAGTCGGGCCGCGGCACCATGGCAGGGCCGCTCACGCTCTCCCGCCTGCCGCAGGTCACTTGCCGTGGGACACGGTCTCGCAGCAGGTCGCCTGCCGTGGGATATGGTCTCGTAGAAGATCACCTGCCGTAGGACGTGGTCTTGCAGCGGGTCATGGTCTCGCAGGAGGTCACCTGCCGTGCGACAAGGTCTCGCAGCAGGTCGCCTGCCATGAGTATGGTCTCTGCAGCAGGTCATGGACATCATACTTTCTCAAATTGTTTTCTTTTCCCTTCCTCCTGCTGTTATAGCTCGATCCTATGCCCCCCCCCCCCCCCCCCCTCCTTTTAATATTCTCACAGGATTTGCTTCCACAGTCGCTCGCACCGTGGTGCTGCTGTCAAAATTATGTGTCGCGTGTTTCCCTCGCATGGCCGGCTCTTCATAGTTTGCTCGGTTGGTTCGCTTCTCGTGGCTCCCCCCTCCCCCCCCCCCCGCTACATCACTCCCCTCTCATATATTTTGTGCTTCCATGATGCCACTTCCTAGGACTTAGGATCTTGTCCATGGTTTTATCAAGCGCTTCATGCTTTGGTTCTCCTTTTCATGACAATTTTCCTCATTCATCTGCATTCTAAAGATTGTCTGAGCATTGCACTCCTGCTTGCTTTGGTTTCTCTTGTGCGGTTTCATGTCATGTTTTCATGATTTACTTTCAGCTATACCGGCTGTTTCACTATTGCGAGAGTTTCGGCGCGAATCTTATCGGTATAGGATCACCTCCGACAGGTCTTCTCCATTGCTTCCCACATGTTAGGTGCTGCTGCATGATTCAGTAGCATTATCGGATGTACTGGTTCTCTACCTTTTGGAGTGTTCCAGGCCTCTGACCCATGCGGGCTTTTAATCCCATGCTTGCTGTTCTCCAGCCCCACGACCCGTCGTCGCGCGCCTCTTGCGCTTCTGTTTCCCGGGCGATTTGCTTACAATGCAATGGATACATATCTGTTTACATGACTAGTTTTATACTGAGTATCCCGAGGCTTTTATAGGACCACTTACTTTTGAAAGGAATAATATTTTCAAGACAAAAGTTGTTTGGCTGTTTGGCGTTTTGGGCTTTGCTTAAACTTGCTGGCGTGTGTAGAAGGGGCATTTTCCATGATATATGGATTGAGTAACGTAACTAGATCACTTCAGATTGTCTTGCTCTCAGCCTTTCTTGTTGGTATATATATATATATATATATATATATATATATATATATATATATCTATATCATAGCCGCGCGGAAGTTTTTGTGTAGTAGGAGAATAGTTGATTCTGCAACCCAACAAGACACCATCAACCACTTTCAGGTCGGATGCATCACCGTGAGAGACTTTTGGCGGCAAGCTGTCCATTTGCGAAGCAGATCCATTGAGGAGAGAGATTGAGATTGAAATTAAGACTATACGCTGAGCATATACTGTTTGGATTCCTTGATGTTTCGAATGTTGTCAACCACATCATCCTGCTATGAAAGATGTATGTTGTTAAAACTGGGAGGTTGTGGACAGTTGACACCGAGGGAGTTCGGGGCCAGGCACCTGGAGCAATACAAAATAGACGGGTGCTTTGCGGCAAAGGGAGACAATTTCATGGCCGATGGAGCAACTTAATTCAGAGTGGTGCATTTGTCGCTGAGTTTGTTTGTGCGTCGTTGGAGTGTATGAGACGAACATCGTATAAAGAACTGCCTATATACCTGCTGAACACGCTACAGTGTACCTGCGGGCACATGCGGGCACCATAGGCGTTACGTAATGTGTCTGTGCGGAATGGGGTGTGGAATGTGCAGAATAAGCAGGCATACACTGGAGTGGCGGTGTGAATGCTAGCATGCGCAAATTCATTAAAATAATTATATATATATATATATATATATATATATATATATATATGTACATTCTTATGTATATAGCATATATGCTGGGTCATATATCTATGATTATGTGGTATCTGGGGTGATTGGCTGGACCTCCCTTTGTTCCGGTGTGTGCTGGCCATTTTCGGCACACGAACGGCTTTCCGCGTAAACGTCTATTTTCGGTACACGGATGCGATTAAACGCTAAAAGCAGTCGCCGCATGGCTGCTGCATCTGTTGACAAGGCGATCGTGGGCGAGATGGCGCGATAGCTGTGCCTGGCTCGCCGGACCGTCGGCGACCTCCTCAGAACTCGGCCTAATCTCCGGCGAGGTCGGAGCTGGGGCGCGCGGCGGGGTGGCCGCGCGCCGCGTCCCCCGGTCCTGCGGCAGGCCTCAAGCCGGCCCGCAGCGGGATGGCCGCGCGCCGCGTCCCCCGGTCCTGCGGCAGGCCTCAAACCGGCCCACAGCGGGGTGGGCGCCGGCCGCGCGACCCCGGTCCTGCGGCATGCCTCAAGCCGGCCCGCAGCGGCTTCTCAACAGTCGCGTCACTGTCCCGCAGAAGCCGGGGCTAGGGTTGGATGGCTGATGCGCGGGTTATTTGATAAAGTGCGGCTCTGATTTGGCTGAAGTAGAAGCGCAATGTGTGGTACGTTCCAGCGGTGTTTTTAGAAGGGCAGACTTGTACGAAGCCGCTGCGCTCTGTGAAGCAGTGTCACGTGGTATGGAGGGAATATATATATATATATATATATATATATATATATATATACATGTATATATATATGGTAATGATAATTGTATGATGATGTGCGTTATGCAGGGAGTTATGCGAAGCATTGATCGATGAGATGCTGCGTAGGCGTCTGCCTCTCACCCTAGCAGGAAAGGCGGGCGTCGCTGGGAATCGAGCCCCGTAGCTCAGGTTTCCGAGAGGCGCAGTTTAACCTTTATACCATTGGAATTCCGAGTAAAACCATTGATGGGCTTGCGCTGTGGTTGCTTGGTTAGCTTGATTAATGATAACAAACTTGAATAAGACAAATATCAAATTGGCTTGACTTTATATCCTTTGCTGATAACAGGTTCATGTGATCTCACCATGTGGAATAGAGACTTCGTCCATACTTTTTCCTGTGGAAGGGCCATGCTTCTTTTTTGTGTTTAACGTGAATTGAGTAGCAAACGTCCCGAGTTATCGTACAAGGTTTGGTGTTTCGCGATGAACTTTTGCATTTCGCTTACGTAAGTTGTGGCCTGGTGTCAGTCCTGTTTTTCATCCGGTTCCCGCCATCCATTGGCCATCCCCATGAGATACGTGATACGTTATCCGGTACTTCTATCACTCTGATTACCCCACCCCGTACGCTTTGACAAATGAGCGGCTGTGACACCCTTTGTCACTTAACGGCGCCATCGTGTCGCTCGACCGTGACATCCTGTATCGCTCGACCGCGACGCCACGTGTCGCTTGACCGTGGTTCCCTGTGTCTCTCTCGGCCGTAACACCCCGTATCGCTCGACCGCGACGCCACGTGTCATTGAACCGTGGTTCCCTGTGTCGCTCGACTGTGACACCCTGTATCGCTCGACCGCGACGCCACGTGTCGCTGGACCGTGGTTCCCTGTGTCGCTCGACCGTAACACCCTGTATCGCTGGACCGCGATGCCACGTGTCATTGAACCGTGGTTCCCTGTGTCGCTCGACCGTGACGTCCTGTATCGCTCGACCGTGACGCCACGTGTCGCCCGACCGTGACACCAAGTATCGTTGGACCGTGTTTCCCTATGTCGCCCGACCGCGACGCCACGTGTCGTTGGGCCGTGGCTCCCTGTGTCGCTAGACCGTGAGCACCTGTGTCGCTCGACTGTAACGCCCTGTACCGCCCGACCTTGAACGCCATGCGTGGATGCCGCTCCGTACCGGTGTGATCGTCCACTGTGTAGCGTCCAGGCCGTGACCGGCAGCTGACCTCGGTCCCGTGCCCTCAGGGCAAGGCCGGCCTGGCCAGTGAGTTGATGGATGCCACAGCGACGGACGCCGAGCCCGGCTGGCGCGCCCTCAACCTGACACTGATGCGCGACAACGAGACTGAGGTCGAGTGGTGGGAGGTAAGGCGGCCGCCGCCCCCGCGCCGGGTGAGGCCCGGTCACTGGGGGTACACTCATCCCCCCGCGTCCTCTCTCCGGTGGGAGGCAGTTGGGTGTGAGGCTGCTGAGTGAGGTGGCGTGAAGTTACGTGTTAATTGGCCAAGGGCTGGGGTCGTGTGATCAGATCACCCACCGACTCTTGCTGGTCACCGAACGAGCAGGGTCGACTGCCCCCCCCCCCCCTCCGAGGGTAGCGAGATCACTCTTGGACGATTGTCAGCCAAAGAGAGACAACAGCTCAACGCATTTGGGCTGTTTGCCAGTCGACAGAAAGAACTCTCGTCACATTCCCCGATTCCAATCTAGCGTGGTCCTACACTGTTTCCAACACTATTGGCATGGTTCGAGTGGTAGGTGGTCAAAAAGGCAAATGCTGCTGCAAGTTGGAAGGCCGGAAGCCTGAGTCACCTCGGCCATTGAAGGCGCATGCTGCTGGCAAAGTGGACAATCCTGGGATTTTGGATACTGATGTGTTTAATTAGACGTTCGTGTGGCTGATCTCACAAAAGCGCGCGCAAAGACAATCACTTTAAGCCCATATAAAATGATTCCACACCTGGTGCTCGTCACTGCATAGGTCAGTAACAAGTGGCCGTGAAGATAACGGAGAGCCGCGCGGCTCAGGATCAGCTTGCAGTAAGTGGCTCGTGCTCGTGTTAATGGCTGACATAAGAACCTGTTTGTTGGCCGCGTTGCGGCACAACCCGTAGGTCCCGTGCTGCGCGCTAGGTGTCAAAGTTCGTAGAGGGACATGATCGGTGCAACAAAAAATATACTGCAAACGGTGAAGCCGTCGCTCCGCCTTTGGCCGTTTGCACCGCCCGCCAACGTGGCGCAGTTGACGTTGGCGTCGACGTTGGTGTTGGTGTGTTAGCGTTGGATGCGTGGAGGACGTCAACGTTTGGCTGGTGTTTGCTGCCAGCGGTCAGCCGCCAGCGTTGCCGAACCGCCGGTCGAGAACAAGTAATTATCGACCAATTATCGACCAAGGAGCCATCAAATAGCCGCCAAAAATATGTTCATCCAAGAATAATACTGGAGGACCGGAGCCACACACCAGGCCCTCTTCGCCAGTTGGGAGTGTGACAGATGAGCGGACCCGGGCACTGCTGCCGGACCCAGTGACCAGGCCGGGGTCGGCAGGCGAGAGAGCAGCGTGACCCTGCCGCCCCTCCGCCGTCCGCCACAGGTGCAGGAGGACTGTAGCGACGGCCTCTACAACTGGCTGCCCTACGCCACCTGCAGCCTGCTCGTCATGGCCTGCTTCAGCCAGCGCTCCTTCCCCAGCACGCTGACCTTCTTCACCGGCGCCGGGTGAGTCGGCCGAGGTCAGGCCAGGCCAACCAAGGTCAGCGCAGGTCAGCAGAGTCGGCACGCCGTGGCGGCCGTCGGCTGTGGCGTCTGTGTGTGCTTCCAGTTAGCGACGTTGCCGTCTGGCTGTGGGGCCGGTGAGACCCGGGTGCGGGCCTGCTCCTTTGTCCTTGCTTCGTCGCCGTCGGCTGGTGCAGCACGCTGGTGACGGGCGCCGTGACACGGCTGGTGACGGCTGGTGACGTCCCAGGCGGCTGTGGCGACAGCTCGAGCGACAGCACACCGTGGGCCGCCCCTCCGTCCGCCTGTCAAACGAGGCCGCACCCTCTGCCCCTCCCTCCCCCCACCCGCCAGTGTCCACCCCTCACTCCGGACAGGGGCCGCAACTCGGCCCACACCCGGGCCCCTCCCCCCCTTCCGTCCGGCGCCTAACCCAGCACACCGATCAAAGCGCCGAATCTTATCTTCCCCGTGGCGTGTAAAAATGCTTGCAGGTTGCGTGTCCCGTTGCACGTCATGCTCAAGGCCTAAATGCTTGCTTAGATGCGATTCACATCATGATCAAGGCCTAAATGCTTGTTAGAAGACCCCAACCATTATTGAAGCATATATGAAAGCTGCGGCCTATATACCACTCCTTACCGTTTATAAATTTGACAACAATTCATCGAGGTAGTACGCGTGCATGTATGCAACGAAAGTACCAAAGGTTTCTCTTCTGTACACTGGTCAGCTTTACCGGACGGGAGAGAGCAGAAAAAAGCCGCGGCGATAGCTGTCGAAAAGTGTGTGAGACATTCAGCAGCAGTATGACGTGCGCGGGTCGCTCGCGTTTTAGATACCGTGCGCTCTTGCCGACTGTTCGTCGCCAGTCGTTGGCTTTTGGAGGGCTCAGGGAATATACAACACTGGAAATGGAATCAGTCCCATAGCATCGGAATAGGGCTGCCTGGCAACCGAATTCATCTCCAAATACTCATCAGGCAGTCCTCACCGTAGAACATGGAACCGTACACACCGACACTGGCGTATTGGCAGTGCATGACGGAGAATGGGAGAATTTAAGAGTGTCTTTCACAGGGAGGTTAAGAGAACTATCGCCCTTGGTGACCTGTAGAATGGACTTCAGATGTGAGCGCTGGCAGATATGACCGTCATATGCTATCATGTGAGGTGAACAGGTAGCTGTCTCTTGGTTAAACACAGTCCGGCTTTTATTTTCTGAAGGTCTTATTGCGCTGTTACCGATGCTGTGGCTCAGTATAGCTATGTTTTGCAGAAAAGGTTTGTTGAAAAACGACGTATAGGTGATGGTTTTTCACGAAAGGCTATGGCCGAAATGAATTGCGTGTGATTTCCGATTCGTTTACACACGTAAGGTTTCAATGCAAAGCGCAACGAACTGGTCTAACGGAGTCAACGAAACAAACACAAAACTCAAATATTTCCCTGCATCAAGGCGAATGTGGGCATCCGGTAAAAAATCCGCTGGTTAAAATACTCAGTGTACAACACTGTTCCAAAGAACACTGCGCAGTGTCATACTGAAGTAAAGGAAACACACGGCTTGATTAGTACCTCGCAAAGTCTACTGAAAGTGGGCATCCAGCACTTGCCAGAGCGTCTACACACGAAAACGCCTCCAAGAGCATTGCGAAGAGCATGTTTGCACAGCATGCTTGTATGATATTCACGCTGTGTTTAGCAAATTTGTATATGTGTATGGTAATTTTATATATATATATATATTTGTATATACACTTAAATTCGGTCTTAGTTTCGATCTCTGCATCTATGCGTAATGTTAAGAAGAAACGGGCTCATATCCTGTTTTACCGGAACATCGCTGGGCGTAAGTCTCCCCCAGCTACCCGTACTCTAACTTGAGCGTACACTTGCCGAGAAATCCTCCCGCTCACGTGTGGGCTGACGGACCCAAGCCATCTGGATTCAGTTATGCAAGCGTGTTCTCCATTACTGACCAAGTGACTCGGCTCTTTCTAAATATAGACGCTGGAGCTAAACATATCGATAGATGTACCGGTGTTTATAAAACTGGGCCACGTATAGCATCTCCCAGGGACGCGATACCACACAAACAGTTGTCTGGCGGGCTAAATTTAGCCTCTCATAAATCGCAACGGAGTTGGAACGCTCTGTCGCGCACATGGCCTCCTTGCCGACCGTGTGTCGCAGCCACAATGCTCGTGTGACGTCACCTGGCCAAGTACGACATCTTACACACTGGCATTGTGTACTGCGACGTGTAATGGACCGGCTCGTTCTAAAAATAGACATTGGAGGTCAACCCTCAGATAAACATGGGAGTGTTTATGCACTGAGACATGTCTTAGCATCCTGCGGGGCTGCAAAGCCGTCCATACACAGGTCTGGCAAGTTATATTTAGCCTCCAGCTACTGGCGACTCTGGGATGGGGTTGATCTTGCATACGAGCTCGTTGTCGGATGTGTGCTGCATTAACGATTTCTATACGGCGTCACCTGGCTTCATTAAAGCGTCGCATCGGCGTTGGCTGCATGCCGTCACAATGACATCGCCGTGCATAGCATCGGGACGTCCGCGTCTATTTTTGGCACAGCCATAGCCGACAAGCCGGCTGTTCGCCGCAGCCGCTACTCAGCCTGATAACGTGCTGCGGAGATTGGGCCGGGGTCAGCCGGCCGGCCGAGCGGCGCCCGGCGCGCCGGAGCGTCACCGCTCCGGGCCGCGACCGGTACGACTCGCTGGCCGGCCGGCTCTGACGCAGGCGGCGGCGCGTCACCGACGGTGACGTCACAGCGGGCCGCAAGGCCGGCCGTGCCGTGCGCAGCAGCCGGGTGGGCGGGCGTCGCGTCGCGGCGGCAGCACGTGCAGACGGTACAGCAGGCCTGGTCGCAGCCGGCCACGCGTGGGACGGCGTGGGCGGGTCGCCGAGGGCCACGTGCTCACCAGTCACCGTCTTTTTCGTCTCTTACAGCATCATCGGCTCCTACACCACCTTCGTCCTGGTCATCGGGAGACTGTGTCGCACGCCTTTCGTCGACATCTCCTTCCACATCATGTTCGACGAGCTGCCTTACGTGGACCGCATTCTCCAGGTCTGTGTGCCCGGACGAGTACTGTGCTAGTGGGCGTCTCGGCACCCTCTCGCTGCAACCGGCTTGCAGAACCTGTTCCCATGAACATGACCAGTGTTGCACATATCTGAGCATGTCCGCCATCGGGTACGGATCGGAGTGCAGCTCGGGATCGAACGCTACCCGCTGGTTGCGGGCCTGGTTAGGCGCGTCTTCACTAGCAGAGAATGCACCTTAAATCAACAGATGATCGCACGTGCACAGATCACCGTCAGACACAACAGACAGCAAAGGAACACCCCTTGAGTGCCGGCGAACCCGACTAAATCAGATCCAAAGCTTCTGTTGGCTGCAGAGGGTCGTGAAGAACTCCGCAGGAATTGATTTTCAACGGCTGTAGTGCGACAAATCCATGTTAAACAGTCGTCATTTTTGCAAATGGGCGGTGAGAGAGGTGGGTGGGCTGGGAACGTCGGGCGGGGCTTACCAGGCCAAACGATAATGTCAGGCGAACGCAGACGAGCCTCTGATGGTGTAGATTGCACGAAAGTAATATGCCGGACTGAGTGAAACATGCCGTGATGGATGTTGGACTCAGCGGGCAGATGCCCATAATCCAGTGAAAGACACCTCAGTATTACAATTTTTATCCGCCGTTTTCAAAGTGATCCAGATGTCCATAATGTAGTGAAGGAGCTGCTACAACTAATATAATACTACTGCTACGAATGCTACATTAAATATCCATGGTGTTTCTACTAAGCAAATGTTTATAATCCCGTGAAGGGCACAACTGAAAGTTCAAACGCCTACACCTACTACAGGTTCAGCTGCACCTACTACGCCCACACCTACTACGCCTACGCCCACACAAACACCGTTATTCGTCTCACACCATGAACCCGCCGTTTTGGGGCGCTTTCCAGGACATATTTCATATTTCGGCAATCGAAGGGGATAAGGGGCAATCGATAAGTCACCTTGAGACATTCTCAGCCCCTGGTAACGAATTGGTTACGCTAGCCCCCCCCCCCCCCTCCCCTGGTATGTTGAGCGTTTAGCCCCCAATTGAGCTAGAATTGCACAACAAAGAAGGGTGTTTTGCTTGCCACGAGAGAAAGTCGTTGGAAGTCGGCTTTATTGGTTGAGCACATTGAAAAGACCAGCATGATTTGTAACTACACTTGCGCGTAACATTGCCCTATCTACCCCGTCTCTCTGGTTACGCTTCAGTAGCTCTCCATCAAAGCCCCTCCTCCTTTATGCGTAATATTCAGACGGTCGCTAAAGGCTTGAGATCAACCGATCGGCGCCCGGAAAATGCGCCGTCTACAAATCATCTGTCCAATCCAACACTGATCGATCCGGCTCCACGTCCACGGGCTCCACGTCCAACTCGCAACGTACAGACCGGCCACTGGCAGACATTTCACGCTACTGGTCCTGCAGACAAAACCCCCGTCCGGCACGACCCGTACACAACTAGGCGACATTACTGTGACACGAAACACGGGCGCGGACAACACGCCCACACGACTTTACGCCTACAGAACAAAACTGTGGGCACCGAATCTTACACGGCAAAACTTCCAAGGGCACAATGTTTAGGCGACATAACTCCAACACGATAAAAGTGCTGCGTGTAGAAGTTTTCAGGCGAAGAAAGAGTCTACGGACGAAAGTTTTACTGTTTAGACTTCTACGTTGCAAAAGCTTGTGCGGACAAAGTTGCGATGCGACACATGGCTCTTCGTAACCGGATATTCGTCCTTATCAGGTTCGAAGGGACAAAATCCCGAAATGTGCCATCATTTACAAATTACGTATTTCCGCAGGAGTCTAATATTTCGGTATGCCGTAAATGTTTGCGTCATCAAGCTGACGCCGTGGACGGTGAGCCATTTACCGTGCTTGCTTTTTCAGATATGCGAAGACATTTATCTCGTTCGAGAGCGAGGCAACCTGGCTCTAGAAGAGGAGTTGTTCGCCAAGCTAATCTTCCTCTACCGATCACCCGAAATGATGATCAAATACACCGAGCCACCGAGAGAAGACAACAGCCAGTAGCGGACGCCGGACGGGCGGACGTATGGTGCGATGTTTTGGGGACACCTAACCCCAAGCCGAGTCGCGCGACTCACGCGCGTGACGTGTGACGTCGCGTGAGGTCGTGTGCCTGCGTGACCGTCTGACGGCGGCACAAGCGCCATGCGGCCGCCGTCCCGTCAGTGCGGGCTGGGGCAGCGGCGCCTGCCCGGAGCCGACTCGCCGTACTCGGGCGCGCCCGACCCGCCAGCCGGCCATCGACTCTCCAAGCGGCCCGACCGGCCTGGGCTGTGCGGAGCGCCGGCAGGGCCGGCCGTACAGTGGCCGACGGGCCCGGCCGACCGCGGCCTGTCCGCGACCGGTGGCAGCCCGCGGGCCAGGGATGCCAGCCCAGACCTCGCCAGTGTTGCTGGCCGCCTTTTTTAGTGATTCGGAGCCGTGTTTTGAGCAGGTGATGAGTGGGGAGGAGTCAAGTCCCGCGGCGCCGGTATCAGTTCGGGTTTTGTGAGGAGCTGTAGCCCGTTAAACTCCTGTCTTTGCGTTTGATAGACGAGCTTTTTGTCGCGAAAAATTGAACTGCTGCCTTTTCTTGTCTGTGCTGGTTTTACGGCGATTCTTGTCAATGTTTCTTTTGATCTGTCGAAGAAGGCGGTGACAGACCTTGGCCCGCACTGGGTGTGTTAAGGGAAAAAACGCTGTTAAAATGTTGTGTTAGCCTGCTATCTATGATTTGATTATACAATGTCTGTAGTGTTCGTATGATGTTCGCGTTATGTTGTCTTTCACCGGATTCCTGAACTTGTGGTCCGATGGGATGCAGAAGCGCTGTCGATGCCCTGGCACCAGAACCCAGCATCCGTTTTGTCATTACGAGAGATGAGGTTTTGTCTGCAAGTCGACGTTGTGAGCTCGCTTGATGACAGCGGGTAGCCGGAGGTCTGAGGCCGGAGTGACACTGGCGCGCGGTGCGCACCTCCCTCACACAAAACTCGCGTCAGAGGACGCCCTCAGTGGTGGATGGCGGCTGCTCTAAGCCGCTGGCAGCACTGGGGTGATCCCAGCGCCGCTTGTGACGTGCCCGCCGTGGCAGCGGCTGTACGCTGCCGGTCTGTACGTGTGTTGACGGCTACCGCCGGCGGCGGCAGTGGCAGACCCCTGTCCCGGACGGCGAGCGGCTGGCGGAGGGAGGCCGCGTCGCCCATACCGCGCCAAGTCACCCGAGGTGGCCGGGACTCGGCGGGCGTCGCAGACTGCTGGCGAGCGTGGGCTGCCCCCATCCCCGAGGTCGGGTGCCGCTAGCGTCCTCGCCAGTTCCGCTCTGTCCGTATTTATTGCATATGCTGTGTCGAATACACGGTGTCAACGTGTCGGCGTGGCTGTCGGGGACACGTGCGCCGCTCGGGCCGGTGACCCGGGCGGCGGCGGTGACAAGCGCGGCCCGCTGCCGCAGCGGCCGCGCCGGACGCGGCTGACGGCCGGGGCCACGTGCCCGGCCGGCGAGGCGCCGCCCCGCTCCGACAGGGAGCTGCCAGCCGGCGGCTCGCGTCGGCCGCCGAGGCGCCGAGACGAGCGAGAATGCCTCGCTGCGGCAGGGGAGGAGACCTCGCCGCGGGTCGGCCGATGCCCGACTCCTCGTGCTCTGACAGTGGTGGCTAGTGAACACCGCGCTGTACGGACCGTAAACCCGCTCATGGTACCCGTATATCACGTAACGGTCCAGGTGCTCTAAAAGAGGGACAGGCCGGTCCAGCATTGTCTTAACTAATCCTCGGCAACTTACTTGGTGCTGCGACAAATGCCAAGGTTGGCGTGAGAAGCGCCACTTGAACGCAGATCCGAGCATCGTGCGGGGGGGTATGGGGGAGGGGGCTGCTCCTGAACGGGGAGTGGCGTTACCCGCTTTTCTTGGAGAAACAGGGCCATCTCCACTCCCTGTACCGTCGGGGCTATCAACCATCAGCTGGAATAATGTCAACTCAAAGAGGCGCAGGATTACTCGGAATCGTGCGGTGCAACCGTGATTAGAAGGTACCCAAACACTTCTCGCAGCATGTTTGGTCTGCGAAGTAACGTCTAAAATAGACTACGCTTCCACGGAAAGGATCAGGTGCTTACTACCTTACTAGGTACGAAAGTCGGGTAGCCCATGGTGGCCTTAAGAAACTAGTAAACAGTTTGCCGGCATGTAGACGCATGCACCTGAAAATGCAGGATTTCGCGTGTCTACTGGCAGGCATTCATCGCCAACAAATGCCCTTGACTTGGCAGCGAGCTAAACTTCTTGTCTCCAGGCTGAATACTGGCATAGTTTTTTTTTTTGCTTGTAGCGAGATCCTTGCAGCAAAGGCCGACAAATGTCAACGGACACAAAAAGGGATGTAGTTTTTCAGATGGTGGGGGGGGGGGGGGGGGCTTCAGACCCAAGTTGTGCGCTAGCCTTCCCATAACTTTGGGAGGAAATGGGCCAAATCATGAGAGAAACCGTTTGTTGGCGTTTTGGGGGTATGTTTCATGATTATTCGCGGTTCAGCCCCCAATTTACCGAAACTACGCTCCAGTACACAAATACATAAGTATTCCAGGATTTTCGCGCGAGTAGAGCGCAGATGCTCTGTTATCTTTTTTAGAATTGTTATGTCCTCCTAACATGACGCTTAACTGGCCGGTAGCTGCACTTTATTTACTTTTACACTCACTCGTGCACCCACCGTGAAAGTGAAAGACACATGCGCTGAGGCTTTCGACAACCCGTACTTGCCCTTGAAGTCATTCTGAAGGAGCCCTTTTTATTTTCCGCATATTGTTATCTTGCATGGTCACACAAATCCGCAATACAGCATTCGGTTAAATGCACGTGACTAAATGTTGACATTAAAATTTCACGTAAATGTCGACGATAAAAATTCCGTGTAGACATGCAAAACCAAGGTCGAGAGCAATGCTATCTCACGGCGCGCAAGAAATTTTGCGCGCGTGCGGCGATGCGGACTCGGTTTTCAGTGCGCACTGTTGAGTTGTGGGCCCGTGCGTGGGACGCGTAAAAGTAAGCTGGGCTTGTGGAGCCACCGCAAAAACCGGAAGCATAACCGCGCTGGCCTATGGCACCAATGCGTAGGTGTGCTGGAGAACTTTAAGGCAGTTGTTTTGGCCCGTGTGCGTGTTGAAAAAGTCCAGGTGCCAGCAGATTGTCCGTGTTTGATGGTGATGGATAAATGGAGACCACCATGGACGATGTTTTGTACAGATTGTGATACGCAGCGCTGTGAACAAGGATTGTTCCACAGCACATCACATGCGACAGCCAATGGAAGTAAGCACGAACGGTGAAAACGAATGGGGGGGGGGGGATGAGGGGCTGCTCCTTTGCCTTCCTGGTGGAAAGCATGCAGTAACAAATGCTGAGTGACTGTCATTAGAGTGCTCAGCTGCCTCCCAGATTCACAAAAAAACTAACACAAGCCTGATGACGCTGCATGGAAAACGCCGAAGGATAGCTGTCTGCTTCCAAAGATCCTCGGAGGGCTCGGTGTCACCGGAAGCAATTTAACTCATGGCCGACAGTTCACATGGGATCCACTTTCAATAGGGTTTCACTTGTACGATATCACGTTTATCATGTCCGAAGCTATACTTTTTGCCTTAACCAGCCTGATGGATCCGCCGTTTATGCGTCTTTTGGTACCCGAGCTTTTTACATCGATTTTATACGATTTATGGAGTCTGACGTTGCTTACGATCACAGCTGTTCACGACATTGCACTTATCAGAATGGAATCGAGCAGAGCTGTCGCAGACATGCATCGCACCTGTTGGTTACAACCTAGCCCAAGTTTTGGCGCATGTCTACGCCAATGAACTTCCAGTTAGCAGACATGGACATAAAAAACAAGATCGAGAACATGCGATGTTATTTCACGGCGCGCAAGAAATTTTACCTGGTCTGCCTGACCCGCTCTGAAAACTGATAGTTTATAATTATAAAAAGATAAATTGAAGTCACAGTCGCTCCAAAGCCGTTGGATGTTAGAGAAAAGAATACCATGACGCATGGATTATTTGTCTGCTGTTATGCATGAAGATAAGACATCATAAATACAAAGGATTTGAAATGAGAGTTATGACGTGCATTTGCGAGGAACATCATGCACTTAGATAAGAGAGTTGTAATAATTAAACAGCAGTAAACACATCTATTTCTCCATTCTCCTGGTTTTTCTCCGAGGAATAAGGCTATTACTACTGCCTTATCGGTCTCAAAGGATTGTTAAGGAAACAATTTAGAAATTGGTTGGGGTGTTGCATGCTCGCAATACTCTGACTATTAGCCAGCAGAGATCGTTGCTCCCTCCCCCACCACGAGTTTTGGGTTTGCGCACGTTGGTGTGTGATTGCTTACGCACATGCGCGGACACTTTTACCAGTGCGATCATCCGTTTTGTACTCCGATAGTTTCAGGCTTATAGCGCTGCGACACCTTGTCACTGAGGTCTTCATCTGTCTGCATGCACCTGTGTTCTTCAATTTTTGTCCGCGATCGATTGATGCTATTTTGATTAGCAATTTTGCGGACTTCACGTCTCCCGCGCGAATGGCTTGGCGATGCTAAGCTGGGATGACACTGCAATGCTGCAGGGAAACCCATCTGATCAGATTTCTGCCGAAATGCCCAGCTGTTTATCTGGCAAATTTTTTACATACTTGGCTTTATTGTTAGCAACAACATGAGGTGAGTCTAGTTGCTGCAGAAGTATTAACTTCCGGAAGACGCCAGGCGGGGCTGGACTGCTCAAGACGTTGAGCATTTTTGCCACAAGAACAGTATCAACTTCCAATTTTTTAGTTATCAAAAGCTATTATTTGTCAACAATTTTTCGTTTATTTATCAACAACCCACGGGCCTTCTTATCACTGTTTGAGTAAAGGCACGTCCGCACCTTGCGGACTGGCGGTGAGCTGCGTTGCAGATTCTGCTGTCGTCAGCTGTGCCACCGGAACTGCGAACTAGAGGTGCCACATTTAAGTCCGCAGTCCCGCAAAGGGCGGGTGGAAATAGCTTAAAAGTGGCACCTCTAGCTTGCGGCAGCTGATGACGGCAGAATCTGCAACAGATTCTGCGGGTGTCAGGTGCAAGGTACGAAAAATGTACCCTTTTTTTACCCGCCCTTAAATTTACCCTCTTTTTACCCGCAACTAACGGGTCTGCGGGCTGAAATGCGGGGCCTCTAGTCCGCAAACGCCGAGGACTGCCGCATCTGCATGCGGCGAATTCTGTAGTCGGCTCGCAAGGTGCGAACGACTTGGCTACTCGTAAAAACTCCAAACCGTTTAATATGACGTTATGAAATTACAGTAGCCACTTATCTGACAAATGAACTAATGCGTTTGACGGCACAATCATTTTATGCCAGGCCGGGCGCTTGCGTGTGCGTCTTAAGTAAACGTGTATGCTCCTGTTGACGCTTTAAGAAGCAGCAATGCAAAATTTTCTGTCTTGTTTTGTGTTGTTTTGATGCAGACTGGTCTGACGGCGCCAGGTGTCAGCAGGTAACCGGCGTCAATAATATTACGTGATCTCGCAGATGGGCGGGGCACACAAAGGGTGTCCCGCCCATTTGTGGGGAATCTCTCACGCCGACCGAACGCTCACTACATAATGGCCACCGAACCGAACCGCCAACCGAACGCTCACTACATAATGGCCACCGATGTGCACCACCGATGTCTGACCCGAGTCTGGTCTCACGAAACGAAACAAGGAACCTGCGAAGCTTAAGAGCGTACGATGCAAGCCTAAGAGCCAGACATAGATCGATTTTACGCCACATTCTGATTCGCGGGTCAAAAATAAATACAACTTACGTAGAGTGTTTATTCCTTCATCATGCGTTTGCTCATAAGGTGCGATTTAAGGGACATAAGTTTATCGTCTCAATAGCCTTATCTATGTTCTATCTCCGGATTAAGTATGTGATCAATATGTGATTATATATCACAGAATATGAGATATATAATATGTGATATATATATATATATATACATATATATATATATATATATATATATATATATATATATATAATTATGATCACTCGGCTCATGCAAGAGAGTAGATACTCACTTGCTAGCAATGTCACATCACCACATCCCGGTGTACCGAGAGTCGCTTACCGTCAGAATAAGGACTCCCAACTCATAAGGCGCATTATAATATTGTCGGCTCTAAATGATCTGAAGAGGCCCCCATCATCATCAGCACTGCCAGACATGAGCAAGTATTTAAATAAACTTTCCTGACGTTTCATAAGAGCGTTATTTCACTCTTCCCTAGCGAGGGAGTATACTGAGAACTGGCCAGCCACAACGGTGA